ATCAGGAGGCGCTACTTCACGGTCAGGGTGGCTAGGATCTGGAACCAACTTCCAAGCTAAGTGGTGCTGGCTCCTACCCTGGGGGTCTTTAAGACAAGGCTAGACAACCACCTTGCCGGGGTCGTTTGATGCCAGTACTCTTTCCTGCCATGGCAGGGGGTCGGACTTGATGATCTGCTCAGGTCCCTTACAACCCTACTAACTATGAAACTATGAAACATTAGAGCCTAACTCCTAATCAGGATCAGACTTTAAGAAAGCAAAATGATGTATGGAATTGAAAAGATGCTTAGAAAAATGTATCACGTATGTGAAAAAGCTTCTGATTGGGGTATTCATTTTGGATAGATAAAACCTAGATGCCATTAAGAATGAATACTTATATTTCTCTGGCACCTAAGAGGCCCAGTCATGGACTGAGACCTCACAGTGTAAGGCTCTGTACAAGCACACACACATGCCTTGGGCCTAAAAGTCCCACAGAAAACAACTACTCTCAGGTTTATATCATACCTTGATAACATCTTTTGCATGCTCACCTGGTGCAAAAAAAAACAACAACCCAAAAGATGTTATACAACACAGGCACAGAGTCATTCCACATGCATTCTGGAATAGCTGATAAATAGCCTTGAATATCAGAGAGAGGAATTAGCACTGCTGGGATTATCCTCTCTGAGATCAAGTCACTAAGCAATTATCTTCCACCTGAGTAGTCCCTAGGGACAAAGGAGAGGAACCTTTGTTTAAAGTTTAATTCAAAAGGCAGCACGTTTAGTAGCGACATCCTATGGTACCGTATTGCTGTATCAGCACTGGGTATGAGCCCAAGTCCCACAGCCTTCCGGCCCCAAAGTCAAAGCGCTGCCAAATGACGTATGCCGATGACATATGGAGGCTGGTGCTGGCAGGGCATTTTCAACTGGATCCAGAGATCCAGAGAAAAGCGGACTGTCAAATGTGCAATTCAATTAGGTCAGCTTTGCTGCCGCAAGCGCCACAGACACACATGCCACTCTGAAGGGATAATGTGGTTTCAGTGCTGACTTTACATATTTTTCAAAGGTTTTTCATTGATTGAAAAAGCTGGCCAGGATTATTGTTCCTTTTATCACCCTTTTCATATGGCACTGCAATTGTCTGGCTTCCAATGCTTAGTGCTCAGCACTAGCAAAGTTTCCACTTCAGCATTTTCCTACAGTTGATGTTCCTTCTTATTCAGCAGCCCCTACCCTTCAGTCCTTACCAGCTTTCATCCTCACCAGTCATTCTTGGCACTGTTTGCTCTCCCATTCTAACTTTATACGTTGTGCCTGTGCAAGTGCATCTCTCCCTGCTGTCCCCACACACAGTTTAACATCTTCCAGTTGTTCTGACTTGCCCAGGTTAATGATAAGACTTTTTGGTCTTGTCTACACTGTTTTCATACTGAGCTCCACAGTGCTGCCAAGAAGCCTGCCCTGCCCACTCACTCCCTTTCCATGCGCTCCGAAACCCGGGAATGAAGCACCAAGGCTGCTTTAGAGCAATCCCTCTTACCAATAAGCACTGACAAGGAACTAAGAGCATGGGGCCTCTCTAAGGTGGCTATGTTGTCTCGTTTCTGGGACTGAAACTGATGGGACATGTTTCTTGACAGCACTCCCAAAGTCAGCATTTAGGCAATGCAGACAAGTCCAGAATATCAGGTATATTGATGTAGAATTAATGACAGCTGGTACCCAGTTGTAGTAACACCTGGTAAAAGCAACAGCTGTTTGCCACCAACATTTCTCCTACATTTCCATACCATGTATTCAGATACACTTCCTATAAAAGCCACAGCCACTTGGGAGCAACGTAGTACCAGCTCACTGACATGTTGCTACTATCAGGCATGTTGCATTTGTGGCTCTGCTCTACACAAGCAAGCAGTAATTAATATGATTTGCTCTATGGGGGAAAATCAGTGTCATCTAGGAAAATCCATCTTGAAAAGCTATCTTATAAAATAGCTACTCTAGATCCAAGGGGATCTTGAAATTCACTCGGACAGATAATATACCATAGTAAGAGGCAAAAACCTCTAGAGCTGGGCAAGAAGTCTGTCTTCATATTACTCTGTTTTTTGCATGGCACATTTACAGAAGACCCCACATCAATGAGGGATGTAAAGTGTACCTACATGTTATCAACACGTAGAATTGTTCTACTGCTTGCTGGGTTAGAGAGATTCACTTTGTGGTTTCTGCATATTCCTTAATGATAAAGAATATTATGGTGGGTATTGAGAAACTTATGGCAGGGGGCCTGATGCTAGAAATCAGCACCTGTTTATGATTTTATAAATAAAGATACCACTGGGGCCACCCATATTTTTAGAGGCTTGCACAGCAAGCCATACGAGGAAAGGCTGAGGGACTTGGGACTCTTCAGGCTGAAAAAGAAAAGGCTGAGAGGGGATTTGGTAGCAGTTTACTGCTACATCAGGGGAGTACATCAGGGTCTCAGTGAACAACTGTTCACCAGGTCACCCCTGGGGAAAACCAGGAGTAATGGCCACAAACTCCTAGAAGACTGTTTCAGGCTCAGCACTAGGAAAAACTTCTTCACAGTTACGGTGTCCGGACTGTGGAATAAGCTCCCTCCAGAGGTGGTGCAATCACCTACCCTGGAAATCTTCAAGAGAAGACTGGACGGTCACCTTGCTGGGGTCACCTGACCCCACCTGTCATTTTTCCTGACTGGTGCAGGGGGCTGGACCCAATGATCTTCCGAGGTCCCTTTTGGCCTTACAATCTATGAATCTATACATAACATAACAGCAGTCATGTCAACACAAAAGGTCTTGTTCAAGGCATAATGCTTGATTCTAGCATCAGCTGCCTTGCTTTAAATCAGGACTATCTTGTAATGAGGCTGACTGAGATATATCAATATGAGAGTAAGCTCAGATTCAAACCAATAATTCCAACTTTAAGCTTTTGGGTTTTGTCATACCTTTAATGTGTTTTGTGTACAACCTTTATAAGAACAATAATCAGATTCATTTTCTGTGAGCCCAACCCTGATGCTGTAGTGAAAAATTTTTGATTGTACGGAATGCAACCAATGATGCAGAGATTTCCCCTGTATCTAGGGAACTCTAACTAAGCTCATATTTGATTTTATTTAAGCAAAGCTCCACTGACTTCAACAACTATTTAGCTTGGATAAAGTGTAGGTATGAGGATTAAGCTCCAGACCTTTTCATCCTCGGATACACTAAACAGACCAAAAGATTGAGACACAAGTCAAACTACGCAGGGCAGAAAAGCGAACTTCTTATTTGTCTTGGCCCTGGGCATTCTTTGCCACTTATATTTGTTATAAATGGGAAAACCAACAATACATTTTCTAACTCAATAGATCATTTTCCTATCCAAAAAAGGGCAGTGAGTTTTGTAAGCTTAATAGCTAAGGATTATTTTGCGGGAAGCACAGTTTTATCTAGCTTTTCACTATCAAGTTATTTAACATTTTTTAAAACCTTCCTAAAACAAATACAAAAAAAACCCCAAACAAAGAAATAATTCTTATACTGAGTAATTGCACATGTTCTTTGCTAAAAGAATACTGTTTAAAATTTCTTGATGGCAAGCAAGGGATGAAATACATTAAGTAAAAAGGATGGCATCTGGAAGTTAGCAATGACATTTTGTTATAACAGTTGCAGCAAGATCTAAACTATGGTTCCAGCTCTAATAGTTTCTGATTGGCCTGATTTCATTGTGGGAGTCTTAGCCTTGTTAGTGATCTTAGGTTAAATTACTTTTAGACTCTACTGGAGTAAAGAAAAGGGGAGATTCACACCATCTCCAAGCTCACAGGCAATTCTTAAGGAGAAACTAATTTAAAATAGTATGATAGCCCTAAACCAGGGGTGGCCAATGTGGGACGTAAATGCTACAAGTGGCATGATCAGCCTCTGTGTGTGGCAAGAGGCATGCAACAGATCAGGGAGGGAACAGGAAGCCCAAAGGAGAGCAGGAGAGCAGGCAGAAGGAGATTAGAATGGCACTTGAGGAGGGTGCAGAGCTAATCTGTTTCATTTCTACCCAGGAAAACTTTTACAATCTTTTCTCCAATGACTCATGAAAAGTATTTATGCCTGAAAGCTTGCAACTAAAGATTTTTTTTTTTGCAAAAATCTTCTTGGTCTAATAAAAGATATCAACCCTACTACGAGTCCTGATTGCCTTTACCTCTAGACCAATGCAGCTACAAGCTGGATACCTGAGCTAATCTGTGACACTCCTACCAAGAAGTTTGGTGCCCACTGCCCTAGACCAACATCTTCAGAAGGAGCTGGTGACTCTGGATGTCTAACTTGCAATGTGCTAAACATACTTGATTTTCAAAGGGCAAGAGGCTCAGCACCTTCTAAAAATCAAGTTCCTTTAAAGTATCTTGGGTTCGGATAAATTCAGGCACCCCAAAATTGTTAGTAAGTACTGACCACCCTAGCTAGAGAAAGACATTAAGCTAACTTTGTTTCTGCAGCAATGCAGAAATGGCACTGGGAATTAGCAAGAGATTTTAGTTATAAGTAAGGAAAATAACTGTCTTAGAATGATTAACTATATAAATAAACCTAGATGCCTACTTAGGGAGGTCTTGATTATTCTGGGTCTCAAGTTCCAATTTCTGATATCTCAGGGTTATACATGGGCTCTTTAGATACTGGCTGAAGAAAGGAAAAGCCTACACATGGATCTCATAAAACAAATGTTGTCACTTTGGTTTGATGATGTTGCAATTCCATCTTCATTGGTGTAAATTTAATCAGAATCAGTTCCGTATACTGTACATACAAAGGGTATAACAGAAAAAGATGAAGGCACGGTAGATATTTACCTTAGAGACTAACTAAATAACATATATATATAGAGCACAAGCTTTTGTGAACTTGAGTTCGCTTCATCAGATGCTATGAAAGGACACCACACAGGAATGTATAGAGAAGAGAATGACAGCCATACCTGATTATACCAAGAGGATCTACATCTTCCTCCTCCTCCTCTTCCTCTTCCTTTTTGGCTCCTTGACCTTTTACCACTGGCATCTGAGAGACTGTGTCAGATGTCATCTCTTTGAAGAAATCTAACACTTCATGTTCCTCCTCCTCTTCCCTGTCATCAGGAACATTTTTACCCTTAAAGTCAGTGACTCCAGTAAATTTTGTTCCTGTAAACAACAATACTACATGCAGAAATCAGCATGCCAAATTAACCTAACATGATATTTTGCATGTATTTCTAGCAGGGCAGGATGGCACATTTGATGGCACCTCATTCAGAAATGCATAACCTTTTGTAAGCTACAACTGAGTAGACTCTAGTAAATAAGGAAATAGAGAAACTCACACCACCACGAGTGTCTGGTGCCTCTTGAGTTGGGAGAAGTGGGGGGGCATGTGCCCCACCACCTGCAACACCAGTCAGCAACCAGGGGGGAAGGGGGTGTCCCCCAGCAGCTGATCCCACTGGCTTTTGCTGGCAGCCCTGCCCCCCAGCTGGCGCTCGCAGGTGGGACACTGGTGCTCCCGCCTGCCCCCCGGCCTGCCAGCTACACTGGGAGCACAACTTGACAGGGGGTACACCGGTGCTCTCAGGGGGTGCACATGCACTCCTGTGCACCACCTACACATTGCCCCTGCATACCACCTCTAAGCCCACAAGCAATTCCTGTCACCTACAAAAGCTTATGCATTTCTGGGTGAGTTAGTCTCTAAGCCTGGTATCACACTGCCTTGCCTTCTGCTTGACTTCAAACTAACATGGCTAACTACCTCAATCTCTATTTCCAATTGTTACACTTGGAGAATGAATACAAATAACAGTTTCAGTGAATCACATCCTACAATTTGGACTGGAACATCAATCCCTACCATCTACCAAATGCTGTAGGTTTGAAGGTGTGACTTTTTTAATGGACTTAGTAACCTTGGACTCAATGGAAATTGATGTTCCCATACATACTGATCTAAAATGCTTCAAAAGAATGTGTAAGTCCATTGTACAGGCAAGAAACATCAATATGAACAACCAAGCCTCAACATAAACTATATAACTGCTTTGGCCAAGTCTTCCCATTACATTTATTACATTCAGTTTAAAAGGCAGAAGGTAGGAAATGGTGACACCTTAGAGACTAACTGGTCCAGAAAGGCATAAGAGCTTTTGTAGGCAACAACAAAATCACTAAATGCCAAATCTCTAAGGTGTCACCCTGCCCCACCTTCTGCCTGACTTCAGACTAACATTGCTAACTACCTCTGAACTCAGTTTTAAAGTTTAGTGTGGGGGCATAACCAGTTTGGGGTCTCAGACTCCTTAGTACCTGAGATACAGGCAATATGAACAGAACAAATCAAAACCCAATGACTTAAAAAGGCCTGAAGCATTCAGGGTTTGATCCGCTAACTTAGTATAATGTGACAACATGCATGCCAGTGGAACTGCTTATTATTAAGGCTGCCAGATATTTCCTATGCATTATAAGACCTTATTTTCAGTTGCTTATAATTTTGGCAAACTTTAATTATTGGGCCTGCAATTTTTTATGCCAGTGACTGCTTCCAGCACGCATGCTCGCTTGCTCTCTCTCTTGCTCTCTATATATATTGCAGAGGAGAAAAAAAATGTTAGGGAGGAATAGGTTGGTTTGTTCATATTAAAAAAAAAAAACAAACCTTAGTGAATTTTATTGGAAATTCACTAGCTTTGGAGCATGTACTTCAAATTTGGAAGGATAGTGGTCCTTGTTTGACTTCCCCATGAAAATGTCACCCATACTTGGCCATATTATAAGCTTTTGAACAATTTTGGTTCATACTCGCTCAGTGGAATGTCCCCAGAACTTTGCAGCTTAATTTCTCGAAGATGCTATCCACACTGAGAATCCTTCTTAGTTCTGGGATGCAGCACCTGCCCTGCAAATGCAATTCTCAGCTGTTCCAAGCTAATGAGGCCCAAGTGCAAGAACTCAGAGCAGCCAGTCTGTCTCCTTGTATTCTCAATACCACATTCCGCCTGCTCAAGGATGACAGACAGCACGGAAGAGGAAGCCATCTGAATTAGATATAGACAGAACTGGAACTAAACTGGAGGGGTGAGGACAGAATGACGCAGAGAGCCTGGGAGTGTGTGAAAACTGGAACTGAGAGATGCAAGTGGGGGGGCAGGAAAACTAGGACTAGAACTAAGAGTTAGGCAA